AGAGTTCTGAAGCAGGGACGATGAGCCGCCAGTGAAAACTTGATATGATCCAATTTGGGACCAACAAGCATGAATTGCTTGATCGAAAAGTAATCTCAAACACTAAAAAGAACTATGAATTTTGCCTAAGTGTTGTAAGTGTTTCAGGTACCCTTCTTTGCACGTATGTAATTTTGTTTGGCTCGATGAAAAAGGGCGAATGATGGCTTGTTGTGAAGCTGGGAAGTTTTTCTATAAGAGGAAATGGTTGGGAGCTCGAGAAGAAGACTGATTTTCAAGCTTCTCAAAACCCAACGGTGAAGCTGGAAAACTTTCAGATTTTCACCAAGTCTGGAAGGCAGCATGGGTGCCAACTTTTGGAGCTTGGTTCGAGGGGTTTGGAGGGGAATCGAGTTCCAAGGATGAAACCACATGAAACTTCATTTCTCATAGAACAAAATAGAGGCATTGGGTGATCAAAACCATACCTTGAAGGCTTCCGACAAAGGCAAGCAAGATCGTATGGCTGCTGTCGAGAAGACTGTCTTGCAAGGAGTAATCCGAATCCGCTTCGGACTAGGATTGTGACTAAAGTGTTTTCCCTTTTCTGTTTGAACTCTATTTCCTTGTTTGTTTGAGAATTGGTTTTCCGTATTAAGATTGTTAGTTACGTAGGTCTATTTAAGGTTGATCAATTGCATTGTAAAACTCAGTTTTCATTGATTCGAATACAAACCCGAGTTTGGTTCACAAAGCTTGTGCTTCGTGAGATTGAGAGTTGTTTAGGAAGAGTTCTAAACATCTTGAGTGCTTGTATCGTTCAGATATACACCCTGATCGTGGTCAAGCTTTGATTTATCTATTTCGAGTCTTTCCCCGTTGTGTGGAATTACACGAAATCGACTATCCATTAACCTACTAACCCCCTGTTATGCTCGCTTTCCTGGAATTGAACAAGCTCAATTCCTAGCTGTGCTATTCTGAAACCTAAAGACCCATCTAGGGACTCATCAAGTGGCATCAGAGGCGGTTCAAACGCAGGGCACGAAAGACAACGATGACGGCAGAAGGCGTCACTGGAATCATACACTGGACAAGGTCGAAAACGATGCTAATCAAGAACTATTGGCACAAATTCAAGACATCGAGCAAAGGTTGGTGGTTGCGGATTCCCATCCTGGACGACTAAATCACAATCGTCGTGATTACAGGGAACGGAGGCCAGAGGCAGAGCCTACCATTCCTCCATGCATCAAACTAACCATCCCTCCCTTCGCTGGATCTCTCAATGCCTCACATTACCTGGATTGGGAGCGAAAGGTAATGTTATTCTTTCAATTGTGAAATTATTCTAAGCAGCATAAGGTGCTCTTGGTCAATGGTGGGAGCAAGTTTGATTGCAACGGCGACCAAACCTCCAGCCAGAAATTACAACGTGGCAAGACCTCCGAGGTCTTTTAAGAGATCGGTTTGTTCCTCGATACTATCAGAGAGAACTCTAAGAACCATTGCTGCAGATTCGACAAGGTACACGATTTAAATCGAGAAATCCGACAGGAGGTGGATCTTAGATCGTTTGTCGATCTGGAGGAAGCTTTTCACCTTGGCAATTAAGGTCGAAAAACAACAGAAGTCCATGAGCAGAAGGTTTGCTTCGACTAGAAAAACTGTGGCAGAGCAGGCTTCTGATTCCAATCCTTCCCAGGTGCGAACTGAACCTAGCAAGACACCAGCCAAGAGCATTGTGCCAGCTGCTGTGGAAATTACTGGAGGAATCCAGTGTTTTAAGTGTCATGGGAGGGGACACAAGGCAAATCAGTGCCCCAATTTGAAGACACTAGTAATCCGTGATGGCGATTACCTCATCGACGAAGGGAAGGGCTCAGACGAGGAAGAAGAGGTGGATGAAGAACTTGAAATAGAGACTCCTCCTCCTTCAGGTTATCTCATTGGCGTGAATCGAAGAGCACTCACCATTGAGACTCATTCGAACTCAGAATAGAGGGAAATACTCTTTCACCCACGATGCAGTGTCAAAGGAAACCTACTCTCCCTCGTCATAGATGGTGGTAGTTGTACTAATGTTGTGAGCTCTGATATTGTCAAGAAACTCGGCCTGAGCACAAGTAAACACCCTGCACCTTACACGTTGCATTGGCTTAACGATTACGGTTCTATTAAGGTCAATAAACAGGCTAAAATCAAGTTTGCAATTGGACGGTATGAAGATGAAATTCAGTTTGATGTAGCTCCTATGCAAGTTGTGCACCTGTTGCTGGGATGACCCTGGCAATTTGATCGAGGGGTTTGCCACGATGGTGGAACCAACTGCTACAAATTTCGGCATAAAAACCAAAAGTTTGTGCTTAGAATCCTGTCGCCGGCCGAAGTGCGGGAAGATCAACGTGAATTGGAGATCAGTCGACGGCGGCAAAACAGGGACTCTAGTGGGAAACGAGCTGAGGAGCACAACGAGATCAATTTTGCAGCTCGCCGGTTCATGCATATGGGACGCAAGAGGCCGAAGAAACCTCGACGTCAACGGCTCTCTAGTGGTTCACCAGAGCAGAGCAAGAGAGAGGGTCCATTGGGAGGATCTCTAAAGGCCAATCTGAACCTCACCAAGGGTACTAACACAATCCCTGGTCCATGGGGAAGCTTCATCGAAGGCGGAATGGCATCAATTCTACCTGAATCACAAGATCCAATTCGCCCCCAAATTGCTCTGAAAATGACCAACGACGTGCCAAAATCGGGGTTATTGGTTGGAACAACTGGGAACGATTAGACGCAAATTGGCGAATCATTGAGAACTGACGTACGAAGCTGTAGCAATCACCAATTCCAACCGAAGATCCCTGGAATGAAAACCCCAAATCGATGTTGAAGTTTCTGGGTTCAGGAAATTCAAAAATCACCGATGGGGGGAAATGACAAAACGACGATTCGATGATTATGGCCATGAGTCTAGAGAGAAGGGTGGTCCAGGTATGCAATTCAAGGTTCTCTGAAGCTCGTGGAGGCATTGCATTAGCGGGAGAATACTTCAAATCAAAACCCCCAAATCATCCCATGAAGAACACTGACCTAAGTTGTTAGAGGCTCGAGTTCGAACAACCCTATTCCGATCCAGTTTGGAGACAATTTTGCGAGCGGTTCGACCATAGAAAGACCATAGTGTTGAGGGCAACACTTTTCCAAGAGGGGGGGCTGATATGATCCAATTTGGGTCAACCAACAAGCTTTAATTGCTTGATCGAAAAGTAATATCAAACACTAACAAGAACTATGAATTTTGCCCAAGTGTTGTAAGTGTTTCCGGTACACTTCTTTGCACGTATGCAACTTTATTTTGGCTCGACGAAAAAGGGAGAATGAAGGCTTGTTATGAAGCTGGGAAGTTTCTCTATAAGAGGAAATGGTTGGGAGCTCGAGAAGAGGCCAGGAAGTCTGATTTTCAAGCTTCTCAAAACCCCACGCTGAAGTTGGAAAACTGTAAGATTTTCAACAAGTCTGGAAGGCAGCGTGGGAACCATCTTTTGGAGCTTAGTTCGAGGGGTTTGGAGGGGAATCGAGTTCCAAGGATGCAACCACACGAAAGTACATTTCTCATAGAACAACGTAGAGGCATTAGGTGATCAAAAACATACCTTGAAGGCTTCCGACGAAGGCAAGCAAGATCGTATGGCAGCTGCCGAGAAGACTGTCTTGCAAGGAGTAATCCGTATCCGCTTCGGACTAGGATTGCGACTAAAGTGTTTTCCCTTTTCTGTTTGAAATCTATTTTCTTGTTTGTTTGAGAATTGGTTATCCGTATTAAGATTGTTAGTTACGTAGCTCTATTTAAGGTTGATCAATTGCATTGTAAAACTCAGTTTTCATTGATTCGAATAGAAACCCAAGTTTGGTTCACAAAGCTTGTGCTTCGTGAGATTGAGAGCTGTTTAGGAAGAGTTCTAAATAGCTTGAGTGCTTGTATCGTTAAGCTATTCACGCTGATCGTGGTCAGGCTTCGATTTATCTATTTCGAGTCTTTCCCCGTTGTGTGGAATTACACGAAATCGACCATCCATCCACCTACAAACCCCCTATTTTGCTCGCTTTCTTGGAATTGAGCAAGCTCAATTCGTAAGCTGCGCTATTCTGAAACCTATAGACCCATCTAGAGCCTCATCAAATATGCCTCATCAAAAATTCCTCTGCCAAAAAATCAATTCCTACCTTGCCTGCAATCGCCGCCCCCAATCCCTACCTGTTCATCTCCGCTCCCATCCGCTGTTGGAAGATTTGAGAGTAGAGCCCCAATCCCTAGCTCAAAATCTATTCATGCTTGAACGTCGATCCGGAGATTTTGAGTGTTTCTGGGTTTGAGAGGATTCACGTGGGGAATGGAAGTTGGGGAAGAACCCTAAAATCCAAATTGGGGAAAAGTTAGGGAAGATGGGTCGAAGAAGATGGGGTATGTGAGGGTTTTTTTTTAATTTATGTTATGTAAATATTAAATAATTGAAATATCTGACGTGTCACTATTTGCTTATGTGGCGCAATCGTGTTCGTTTAGTTGGCGCTTAGTCAACGAACCGTCAAATAAATTGATGGTGTTAATAACACCGTTAAAGTATATAACGGAAATGCTATATATGTCATATAACAACTTCAAAAGCTGGCTCTAAGTGGTATTTCTCCAAATCTGGCTATTATTGGCACAAACGTGAAAGTTTTGGCTATACAAGTGTATTTTGCCTAAAAAGTAAGAATATTTTTTTCACATATGTATAGCTTTGTCTCATGCAGTATCATTCATTCACAAAAGTAAAGATAGCATCTTCATTTTCTTCTTCAAAATGTTGTTTCAGAGAAACTTTTCCCCTTACAAATGAAAATTATGGCAGAAACAAGCAAAGAGCGGTAGTAGCCCATTAATAGATTTATCATGTCACAGGTGCTGCTAGATTACAACTTGTGACATAAAGCTAACACAAAGAGCAAATGACGGATGTCACTCTACATTTTTCGTCAACCCTTTCTCTAAAACTACACCAACAATTTATGAACACTAGCTTTGCCAAAACTATGATAGGAAAGCACTACATTACAACCACACAAGCATTTTCCTAAACCAAACTTCCATACATGAATTTATTTTAAGCAGTACAAACAAAGATCATTGTTGGTCTATGGAACTCTCTAATCTATTTCTGTTGGGGGAGATGGATGCTGAGATCGTCTAAGGAGGTGTTGCCATGGATGCTCAGCCCATGCTCGTTGGCCAAATGCAATAAGCATATAAAACACAGATGAGGAGATATATCGTTGATGGTTGCAGCAACATTATAGTCATTTGGAAAGCTTGCCAATAGGTCCTTGAATGACGCTGGTTCTTCTTGGACCTTCTCATGTACAGAGAGTTTTATATAAATAACTATTAAGTACGAAAATTTCTATGTCCATGCAACTAGTTTAACTCACTTGAGAAGTGGATGGTCGTGAGATGAAAATAAACTAATAGGAGGCAAATGTTATAGTTACTAAATCTCATGGATGGGTTCTTCTAAGGTAAGTGCATAAAGTAAGAGAGTTAGTATAGCTATTTGTAGAGATGATTGGGAAGATTCTTGTATATGATGCCAAAGTGTTTCCTTCAACCTTTGAACATCGACTTGCTTTGACCTCTTATCATATTTGTCTTCAATTTTAGCAACCTGAGTGTGTTGAAACACGAAATAAGATTATTAACCCATCACAATTGGGGTGCATATTATCTAGTTGCCCCACCATCAGGAAATTTATCATTCATGATTTACTAAGGAGGCAAAAGGATAGTTTGTATTTAGCTCGAATTTGCATATGAACCAACCTGTCGAGGCTGAGAAATTAGTGTATTAGTGTTCTCTATGTCACTGTGTGCATCCATATCTTCAAACTAACACCAAATTCACCACCACCACCATCCCATGATGGATGTGCTTCATAGTCGTCAGACTGCTGCCCTGGCTCTTCTGCAAAAAAAAAAAAAAAAAAAATCTTTCACATTTTAGGAATAAGTGACTGAAAACGGAAAAGACAGGATTTTTCAAGGGATGATAAGAGCTTCACCTCTGGAACTTCTCCCTCTCTTTCGAATAAACTGCAAGAGAACAAAACTCTTCCATTAATAGCAGCACCATAAATAAAATAATAATAACACATTGCATCATAAGTATTTTTTTAGTGGGTAACTTTCATTACCATGACATTGGGTAAAAGAAACAACTTAACAAGATCCTTTGGTTGATAGTGGAAATCCTCAGGTAACTTTGTGATAGAGGGTGCCCGGTTTGCTGGTAGCAGCAGTGACTTGGGATTTTTTGGATGAGCAAATACATCCAGTAGTTCTTCGTCCAAGGCTTTTGTGAAAACAATACCAGGTTCTACTTGCTTCTTGGTATTTGGTTTCTTGGCTGTTACTTGTGGCCCTTCTTCTGCATTGGGATTATCCTCCATCCCTGTGGGAAAGTTCTACATTACCATTTTGGGAGACAAAGGACTACAATGTAAAATCATAGGGAACACCTCAAGCTTTAACTTTTGATTTTTGGTACTTTCAATGACCAGGACCTGCCCAACCATTGTGTTTGGATGTGAAACCCAAACTTTGTAACAAATAAGTATCAATTATATCTGACCTGCCATCCAGATCGGTGTTGTCAAAAGAAAATGCGCCATTTTCCTACAAGAGATTGTCAAATTTTAAGTGACTGGTTGATCCATACGTTAAAATAGTAATTATAATCATCAACACACTGATAAACACGCTCTTTGGATAGCACATAGATTCATCATCAACAACACCTTTTTTGATCGTAAGTCCAAGCATCTTGATTTTCAAATGCATCACCACCAAGGTTAGCTTCATTTTCTTGGCTAAAACCATTTTCTACATCCATTTGGTTGCCAGATCCCGGGTGGGAAGAAAACGTATCTAGTGGCCTTTTGTTATGTTCATCAAATTGACTAATAATTTCAAGGAGAGTTGGTGAAATTTCATCCTTTTTTTGCATGTGTAGTAGCAATTGGTCAGTGCAATATGTAAGGAGCCAAGAAGCCCATCAGTGTTAAATGATTTTCAAAATGGCATTGTATGGTGAACCATAGAATCCGTATATACCTTTAGCAAAGGAAAGGTCAATCAACTGATCCCTGCCACACTGGTTCTCAAATGACACACATTTTCCTGGTACTTCTTTTGAATCGAATAGCACTCGACATCCACCGTATAATCCAAGGTTATTCAGTAAAAGATCCATAACTCCACCTTCATCAAACTGCGCAGATGTCTGGTGATAGATGGGATCAACAGCAAATGCAGCTGAAAAGGAAAATTAACTCCATCAATTAACTTAACGCAGCTTCTGCCACCAACAAATGGCACTATGAAAAGTAAGATCACCATCAAACTTCTTCACGTTAAGAGCCTCGAAAGATGATTCCAGCGTTGACAAGGGCGATATCTACAAGCACAGCATTCTGTTACCATATGACTTTCAGTACATAAATAGTAGGAAGAAATGAAAAATGATTTTCTGCAAACCTTTTTCTCTGTCTCCTTCTTCCCATGACCAGTCTTTTGTCCAACCTCGGAACTGCCATCTCCAGAAACAGCATCTGTCATGACAGTGATAATAGATATACCAACAAGCTTAAAGAGGCATCAACCACAACTCTATGCATAGTTCCGACTTAACTTAATGTTTGTGCAACAATATCACTTGAAAGGTATTCTTCACAGAAATGATTCCTCCCAATATGGCATAGAGATGTGAATAAGCGAATTTCAATTTACAACTTAATATTTCTCCAAGTTCAGTTGGCAATTGACCCTAATCTTGTTCATTTTCTTGACCCACTTGATGAATCCCACCAAGGACCCTGTATGCCTCGGAATGCACTGAATCCACTCTCATAGAGTAGATTTTCACTCCAGCTTCCAGGGTGCAACTGGCCTGAACAAAACATAGGGAATTAAAATGCGATTCTAACACCCTCCTAACAGAACCCTAGTAGGAAACCCTGGTCCAGTTTGTCCAAGCTAGCTAACTCCCAACTTCAAAACCTTAAACCTAACTCTGAAATTTGGGGAAAATGAAGGAACCGAAAAGGGTGGAAACCTTCTGAAAATTGGTCTCCGAATCTTCTTCTTCTTCCACCTTTATAATGTCGTACAAGTGATCTATCAAGCTCAAATCCCATGTATTCTTCTGATTGATTTTCTGCAAGCGCCACAGAAAGCACAAATTGAAAAAATCCCATTTCAAAGTTGTGGCCACCAAATTCAAACAAATTGTAAGAAGATTAAGGCGGCGGGGACAAGTCTGACATTTTCGCTGGCGAGTTTGATGTAGTTGTGGAAGAGATCGAAGATCTGCTCCTTGACGAGGTAGAAGGAGGAGGGGTTGGTGGATTTGTCGGAGGGATGAGGCTGAGTAGCATTGAGGGAGACGGACAAGCGACGGACGGCGGCGGCCTGTTTAGCGTAAGGCTGAGCTCGCTAGAGCTGGTCATTGTTGGATCCGAGAAAGAACGGGCTAGTTGGGGATTGAATACTTGGTAGCCTATGCTTTTGCACCGGATTAGGGCTAAGGACTTCCCCCATCTTCAACGAATTAGCAGAAAGCACGGTCGATTTTTGAACTGCAGATTAGCCACGAGGAAGAAGAAGAAGAAGAAGAAGAAGAAGAAGAAGAGAAGACTTCAGAGTAGATGGGTAAGGAAAGCGATCCCAATAACTCTTTTTCTGTTTTTCTTTTTCTGAAGGATTTTGCTTCCTCTTTCTCCCTCCAATTTGTGTTTTGAATTTTTGGAGATAGATGGTAGCTGAGGGTGGTGGTTAACCGAACTGAAAACCATTAGAAACCTATACCCAAATTAGCCAATTGTTGGATAACAACAAGGTTGTCAACCCGCGGGTCGACCCAGACTCGGTCGAGCTAGTGGGTCAAGGGTTAATGGGTCATCCGTTTTAGCCCGCTGACCTGCTCATACGGGCCAACCGCCTGGGTTTTTTCGGGTTTTATCGGGGTTTCCCGGGTTTGACCATTTCCGGGCTAACTCTCAAATGGACTATTTTAACCCGATTTCAAGGCCGGGTCCGGGTCGACATGCGGGTTGACAACCTTGATACCAACTGAAAACCGATCAAAGTTTAACATATTCACTTTTGGTCGAATAAACCAAAAAACTGAGAACGGATCTTTGATTGTGCTAGCCTTATCGGTTTATACCCCGTTGAGGAGAATCGATAAGCCTATAAAATATGTTCGATTTTGGTTTAAATTGAAACACCAAACTTGAACAGCCAAACATACTTGGTTTTCAAATGGGTGAAAAGTGGTGAGCACATATGACTGTGTTTGCGCATATACGCAATGTACATACGTATGTTTGTGAATTTGGTTTTGTATATCTAAATTTCATGCTATTTATTTTAATTGGGGAAATACACTTGTATAACAATATTTAATTTTTTGAAAATTATAATCACATTTTAAATAAAGACAAATATAGTAATGTTGGCAGGAATGGCAATGGGGCAAGTCCGGGGCGGGTATCTCGATACCCATACCCGCCCCATGGCAGGTCGGGTCCAGGTCGGGTAATTTATCACGGGGCGCGGGTCGGGGCAGGTCGACCCTTTGGGTATGTAATTTATGTGAAAAATATTAGAAATAATCATTCTTTTCATTGAAAGACCAAGAAAGAAACCATAATATGATAAAATGTAGTTAAATTATTGAAGAAATTGAGGTTTTTACTTATTTACAACTTTATTATAGCTAAAATATAATGTAATAAAAGGGAAATCTTAAGTAATTTAACTAAGATTATATGTAATTTGCACAAGAATGGGTCGAGAATGGGACGGGTCAGGGCAGGTCGGGTCGATGAGAGGTACCCATGCCCGCCCCGCCCTGCCTACGGGGCGGGTTTGACCCGCCCCAAAACAGGTCAAACAGGTCGGGTAAATCGGGTCAGGTCGAAATTGCCATCCCTAATGTTGGGGATGCTAGTTGGACAAATATAGTCATTTTTGTTAAAAGTGTTAACAACATTAGAGATGTAGTCAGAAATGTTGACGACAAGCTAATGTGGATGTCACGTCTACTCCAAATCACTACGTCATCCCACCTATTAGTTACATCATGTTTATAAATGCATTAGTATAGCCAAAGTTTTGATGATATATTATGGTTATATTTGTCATTAGCATCTAAATTTTGACTATACGAATGTATTTTTAAATATGACGTGGCTGACACGTGACATGAAGTGATGATTAGAGCTCATGTGGCATCACAACATCTTGTTGTTAACATTTCTGATGACATCTCTACATTCATTCTATGAGACCCATAAACTTCCAAGTCTCAAATATGGTCGTGAGATTTGAAATATGGTCACAATCCATTGACCCAATGATAATAACTTATATATCTTTTTGACTCAAAATATAAAATAAATAAGGATACTAAAGTAATTTACATATTAAAATACAAAAGCATAACACCAAATCCATTAACAAAATCCCATAAATAAATATAAAGGGTAAATACCACAATTGGTCATGTTTAGTCACTAGAAAAAATTAATATCAATTTTGTCACTCTCCCGTTAGTTTCCGTCTAGAGCTCAAGCATAAACTCTAGTTGGGTGCAGTATAGGGCGAGTATGTTTTAATTGTCAAACCCGCGCTGGTCCATGTACCCCTACTTCAATCGCTTAGTTTGTAATCTATCAAACGTTTTTTGGTTTAAAACTAAGAAACCTAAAAATTAAAACACGCAAGTAAAGTAAATCGAGGATATCACAATGAGAGAAGAGTTCACCGGGTTTGCTCCTCCTAGCAAACAATTATGACTTTCTGGATCGAATGGTCATGTGTGGTAAGGTGGTTGTAAACCGTAAGGAAGTGCAACAAGTAGCCAAGCGCCACTCTCTTGGTCGCTAGGTCGAGGGAAGGGAATATGATCCAAGCCACCCACGTGACTCTCTCGACCTATTGACTAAGGGTTGGCTAGACTTCACCATCGAATCGGAGTTCGTACGGCCACCCACAACCAAACCCTAGGTGCTAATCCGAAATAAGAGGTTTTCCCTACATTAACCTAGATAGGAGACAATAAATTGCCTAAGAAAATCCAGCATTCAAGCCTATTTCAAATAAATGAAGGGGGGTTTTCTCTCTACCTAGGTTAGGATGACAATTAGATTGATAGGTTTTCACACAACACAATCATTCATGAATAATACCTCCACATTCACATTAAACACCGCCACACACAAATCATTCAATCCATGCAAACATTCACACAATTGTAGCTAGGGTTTACATATACCCAAGTGAATAGGTAGGCTATTCCATAGTTAGGCAAAGGAAAACAAGGGAAAGGAGAGAAAGAACCATGAAGAGATGAAAATCTTTCCTCCTTGTTGCTTGAATCTCCCTTGAGAAGAAGATACGTTTCACTCCTCTAGCTTGAAATGAGCTCAATCTCCTTCCTCCTTTGAATGACCCTTTCTCTCTCTAGAATAGGAAGAGGAAACCCTAATCTCTCACTAGAAACCCTCCTTTATTCTGAAACTAAAACCCTAGAAAAAAGCTTCCTTTTCTCTCTCCCAACAGCCTTCTATTTATACAGCCCGACAGTCACTCTTCACGGTCAGATTTCATTGTCGTGACATTGGAGCCCTAACCTTGACATTGGACCAAAACACAATCTTTTGGCCGAGTTTTGGTCCCACTTCATGGTCAACGACTCATTTTCACAGTCAACAGACCGTGAACACACTGAGGTCCAGTGAGAGTGAAAATGGCTCTGGAACTTGTCAATGTCACGCCCGAAGAGCAATTGTCACGGTTATAAGACCGTGACATTTGACATCTGCCCGTGACATTGGACTGTTCTTCACTTTACTTCACTTTTTCGTGCTTTATTGACTCTAATCGTCCTGAAATCGTCATCGACCTTCCCACACACGCTAGGACCTGAAATGTATAAAAAATAGCACAACTTAGCGTGAAATGTGTCGAGGGATGATGAAATGCAGAGGCAAACTATCGAGAAATGAGGTGTAAAATGTGTGCAATTAGTCCCGAATCAAACATTTCACGTTTGCCACTAAAATTAGTTTAACTTATCAAGTTTGGTTATTCTCCGTTAACTTTTTTTGACTCGACAGTAAACTCTGATAGTTAACCGTTAAATGAGTGACATGGCAATTAAAAAATTAATTTAATTTATTTAAATTTTCCAGCTAATTTTTATCACTATTAGAATATAAAAATAAAACTCAATTTTATATAATTGGAACTCCTCCGCCGGCGTGGGTGACGGTTTCCCCCGTAGTTCCACGACTCTGAGGCAGAGATCGTGTTTTTGGTTACGGGTAAAACAACACCACCGGTGCTGATCGATGGTCGAGGCGACCGATGCAGGGAGCTCTGGCTCTCTGATGCAGAGGCTGTTGGGAATGAATAGCTTTGAAAGCTATATTAAATTAATTATCCAGTATTCTTTCTAGATACAAAAATAAGAAGGATAATTAATAACAAGAATATTATGGAGATAATTAGTATTAATTATCTTAATATAATATATCTTAATTATGGGAGTAATTATCTTCATAATTAAAATGTGACTTATTCCCAAAGAAAGAGGGAATATTCTAGGTTTTCTACTCTTATAAATAGCAGACCCCTAGACCCTCTAAATACACCTCAGAGAGCAGAAACACGAGAGAGAGTGAGATTCAAAGAGCTCCGGTTTTCCGCACAAAACCGCTGAGCAAATCAAAAGAGTGGTTGTTTTATCCTGGAGGCGACCGGCTGATAGTCTGCTGTGCGAATAACGAGGCAGTGCCGCGAACGTCTTAAAGAGAGCGACCTAGTCCGCGACTCAGCCAGATCGGTAACCTAATTTTCATGTTCGGTTTCTAACAATTTTAAGACGCTTGGCTGCTGTTATATGTATCGAACTGGATGCCGATTCTGGCTCGAACGTTTCAATTGCCTATTGTCCACGACGAAGCAATTGCAATATGTCGATGGAGGTCATGATGCGGGATCGATACAGCTGACCCGAGACAACCCCGTCGAAAGACTTTATCCCTCGCGAGGGAAACTCTTGCTGGCCGAAGGCTTGAGTTTCAGTTGCAGCATAGGGACGAGATGTGCGGACTTGGGCAAAAGACGACATAAACAAGGAAACAACAATCTGGCTATCAATTTAGCAAGCCGGAGAAAGAAATCGCCGCCTGCGATATGGCCGCAGGGAGAAAGGAAGAACGCCTCGAGGGGAAAAAGCTCCGACTGCTCCCTCAATTAGGTCCCGGGCCAAAATGGGAAAATTCCCATGTCCGATTAATTGCTCTCGTCCAAGTTCCACCAGCAAAGTGGATCACGTCACTCTGTGGAATTCTGTTGGCCCAAGTGAATTTCAGGTCCAACTCGTCGAGTTTGATCTTTCCCGGGCCGAGTGGCAGGAAAATTTGGGACTCTTTCCTGCTTTAATTAATTTGTTCTCTTAAACCTTCCTTTTGTCATATATGTGGGTGTCGCCCTTTTCCTTATGGTATGCACTAATTTGCATATATAATTTGGTTATTATGGCGTGCACTGACGTGTGCTTGTTATGGGAGGTGGTGTCAACAAAGGGAATGCTGGCCAATTGAGACTTCAGCATTGATAAGTGTTTGGAGCTGGGGGTTCTTAAAATTTGAAGGTAAAAGCTCGATGTTGTCCGCGAGGTTCCCTAGTAAAGATACGCAGCTGGAAAGAGGAGTGAAGCTATATAAATAGCCTACTTCAGCTAGACAACCGAGTCGATCAAGGAACCTGGACAAGCTCCTCTGCCTGTGGTGGAGTTAATCTCGGTAGGAAGGGTCCTGTTCAGAAAGTCACGATCAGGGCAACAAGAATCAATTTGGAGCACTTGAATAACTCAAAAAGCAGAGTTCTTGGAAATTGATTCGCAGAGCTTGAGCCAATGGCTTCTCGGAGAGGAGGTAACAACTGAAACCTTTCTCATGAGTCATTAATGAATGACAAAATTGAATCCATGCCATATACTTCTATGCATGAAATTGAGAAATCATGTAAATGCTAAAAAGAAAGATAGAACTGATGCATGATTATTTTGACATTGAGATGTAGTTTCTTGATGATGAGAGCATAAATTGAATACATGCTATGGAAAGAATATATGAATTTGTCTAAATGTGTGCATTGAAGAATATATGGGAATAGAATGGGTTTATTGCCCATAATAACGATATTGTAAGAAGTACTATTATTAGTACTACACGAACCACTTAGGCTGCTCTGAAACATTATAGTTTCAAGAATGAGAGCAGCAAGCCGAACCAGATCCATACCAAATAGAATGGTACTCTTTGTGGTAACCATAAGATTGTCACCCAATCCTCTAAGAATGACGTTATGTTTCTCTGTTAAATTTGTGAGAAACTAGGTCATAAGACACGAAAGTGTAAGAACAAGTTTAACCTAGTGTTAACTTGACTAAAGAAGAGGATTTGGTAATAATATTCACTGAGGTGATGGCAGAGGTTAACCTTAATGGTAACTCTGAAGAATGGTTGTTGGATAGGACCGCTTCAAGATATGTGTGTGATAAACGAGCTAAGCTCAATCATACATTGACGCGTATTGAAGGAGAAAGTGTTGTTGGGCAAGACCCTCACCACTATTGTTGATGGTTCTGGAAAAGTGGGAGAACCCTGCATCTAGAAAGTCATTGACTATCCTAGATGTAAGGAATGACTAAGTAGATAAGATAAATTCTTCCAAGTGTGTCTGTGTGAAGAATTAGAATATCTTATATCGCATTCCCATATTATTATTGGATGCTTGAGAAAAATATGAATTTTCTATATCCAAGCTAAATGACCCATAATATGTGATTAGAGAATCAGAATAAATAGATCTGATTTATGTGGGTAAACTTGATGGAAAAGACAATAAACAATTTATTGCTCTTTAGAGTGCTCTGATTGTCTGACTAGTTATTTGAAATGGTTTGAAATGCCTAATTGCATTATGGTTGCACTGATTATTCGATATGTGGCATGCATGTGGTAGCGTTAGAAAATCAGTGTAGCATGATAACTAGAAGAGCATATGAGTGTGTTTTATGTTGTTTACAATTAAAACACATAGTTCCTATGAAACGAAATACTCATGTTGTTGTGAAATCTATTAATGCCAAGAAACTTCCATTTTAAATCAAGAAATAGTGGGGGTAGTGTCCTGGCTACTATTAGAAATAATGGAACTAGTGGGGGTAATAAATCTGAGTTTAAACTCAGAAGAAGCAAATGAACCTGAAATCTCTTAAGGTTTTTGGTTATGAATTTGTTATTTACACCCTAAGAAAGATCCTACAAGTCTGCTAGAAGTTCGAACTTCCATAAAGATGCAGAATTGTGGGAGAATCCATTATTAACGAAATGGAATTATTGGAGTCTAATTAGACTTAAAATATTGTAGAGTTACCTCTTGGTTGAAAAGTCTTGGGTAATATCTCGATAGAATCGAACAAGATTTGGCATCTTTGAGAATTACCTCTTGACAATGAAGTCATGGGTAATAAATGGATTCTTAAAAGAAAAGTGAAACATATTGGTTTAGTTTATGAGTATAAGGATCGCCTAATAGCTAAGGCTTTAAGCGAAAAGGAAAAATTGTAAATTTTCTTGTTATCTATTAACCATATGTAGAATAACATCCGTCTTTGTTCTGATTGCTAGTGATTGTGCGTCAGATGGATTGTTAAACATGTTTATGTGAATGGTGATTTAGATAGGAAAATCTACATGAGACAACCTATAGGGTTGTTATTGCTGAGGAGTCTATAGTTAGACAAATCATTGTAAGATTTGAAATAGACTCTAAAACGATGGCATGAATAAACTGGTTCTCTCTCATGGTTTTAAAAGTGAAAATGACAAGTGCATTTAGTACAAATTTGAGAATGACACTTGCTTTATGAATGACACGTCGATCTTTGGTACAAAGACTCGTGATGTCAATATTGAAAAACCATGATGGTTGAGAATTTTGAATGTGAAGGATCTATTTGAAACAAATGTTATGCTTAGAGATCCTAATAACTAGGAAAATACAAGATGTACACCTGCATACATGTTTGATTATGCTAGTATAAATATTTAAAGAACACCTAGGACGGTTTAAGAAAGTTAGAATATACTAGCATTTACAGTCTGCGAGAGGCAACTGATAAACATGAGACCCGATTTAGTGGGGGTACTTGGCAGGCTTACTGATTGTCCTAGTATGAAGCATTAAAATGCTATTGAAAGGGGTCATGAGACACCTTAAAAGAACAGAAAAAACCTTGGTATTTGTTATCAAAGGTTTTGCTGTATTGCTAGGGTATAGTGATGCGGATTAGAATACCCTATAGAGGACTCCAAGACAACAAGAGGATGTGTTTTAAACATCGATAGAGAAGCTATGTCTTGGAAGTCTAAAAAGTAAACGATCCTGGCTCAATCAACTAAGAAATCAGAAATGATAGAACTAGCAATGGCTAGTAAAGAGGAAAGTTGATTGAGAGGGTCATTACTAGTGATTCCCTTATGGGAAAGACCGATCCCTCCGGTAGATGATTCATTGTGATAGCACCGCAACTATTACTAAAGAAGGGAACCGGTTCTAGAACGAAAAGAGACGACAAATTCGTCGTAAGCACAGTACTGTAAGAGAACTCCTAACGATAGGAGCAATGAGGGTGGATCCTGTAAGATCCTAACAGAATCTAGTTGATCCTTTGACGAAAGGATTATCTAGAGAGAAAGTCCAAAATACCACGAAGGGTATGAGACTTATGCCTACCGAACCATGGATTACAAGTGATGGTAACCCGACCCGATAGACTGGAGATCCCAAGAAACGGGTTCAATGGGTAATAACAAGTCATGAGTAATATTGAGAAAAGTTCATGCATAGTGAAGCATGAATCCCAAAGCCTTGGAGGTTGAGTTAAAACTCTTAATGAGATCTATACTCTATGTGGAGTGAAGTACTTTACTTTGGGGGTACTTCTGATAGACTCACCTATGTGAATGTGGGAGTGGGGCCGCTCCCTATGGAACTTTGGAGGCACAAAGTTGCTAGAGCGTTCACTAAACCGGGATAACGTGCATGGCCATAAACGCACGGCCTATGAGAGAATATCACTCAATGAAAAGATCGGGTGTGCTACATTGTCTGAGATAGGGTTCAAGACTACGAGTCACCCTTATGAAATCGGAATTGTAACCACTACGCTAAGGTTCAAATCTTCGCGATACCTTAGCTTATGCCCGATCTTATGGATCTGTTGATGCTCAGAGATAGTTTCAAAACTATTCAAGTGGGGGATTGTTGGGAATGAATAGCTTTGAAAGCTATATTGAATTAATTATCCAGTATTCTTTCTAGATACAAAAATAAGAAGGATAATTAATAACAAGAATATTATGGAGATAATTAGTATTAATTATCTTAATATAATATATCTTAATTATGGGAGTAATTATCTTCCTAATTAAAATGTGACTTATTCCCAAAGAAAGAGGGAATATTCTAGGTTTTCTGCTCTTATAAATAGCAGACCCCTAGACCCTCTAAATACACCTCAGAGAGCAGAAACACGAGAGAGAGTGAGATTCAAAGAGCTCCGGTTTTCCACACAAAACCGCTGAGCAAATCAAAAGAGTGGCTGTTTTATCCTGGAGGCGACCGACTGATAGTCTGCTGTGCGAATAACGAGGCAGTGCCGCGAACGTCTTAAAGAGAGCGACCTAGTCCGCGACTCAGCCAGATCGGTAACCTAATTTTCCTGTTCGGTTTCTAACAGAGGCTTATTGCCGCAGGCAGTTTTCAATCGGCGACCACCAGATTGTGAGTGATTCGTGGAGGTTAATGATGGCGTCTTCTTCTTCTCTAGTGAAATTGCCACTTTTGATGTCCGGTTTCATATAATTAATCCACCGCAGACGGAAGCTCTTCCCACACCTCAAAAGCCCTGCATCTTTCCCAAAAGAGTAATGAAGAAGCAGATCCGGATCAATTCTTCTAGAACAAGGATTGACAAGGAGGAGGAAGACGACGCGGCACGCACTTATAAGGACGGTTCATTGGGTTTCGATATATGGGTTTATGGTGGCTGAATTCAGACGAGCAGATATGTCAATGTCGGCTGCGATGGGTAGGCGGTTGTTTGTGCTTAAGGAGAGGGACTGCTTGGAGCGGCAGTGACGGTGGGTGGACAGTAGAACTGTAGAAGACGCCACTAATTTGAGCTCGATTTGCTGGGTTCTGCTCCATTGAGGGATTTGCAATTTGCTGATGCTGCTAGACTATGCTCGATTGAGGGATTTGCAAGGATCGGTAGTTGCAGGTTTGTTTGTTTCTACGTTTCAAAAGGGTAAGGGAGGAAGAAGAGAAGGAGTTACGAATTTTTTATGTTTTATTATTTTATTTTATTGTTATAATGAGGTTGAAATGGTAAAAAAAAATGTATTCTTTTAGAGTTAATAGCATTTTATACCCTTCTATTATTGCAAGTTAACAAATATACCCCTATACTATTTTTTTTTCACTTTCGTACCCTTCTACTATTGGAATATAAGAAATATACCCTTCTGTCAATATTACAAATCGAGAAAACCCACCGGAGTACTTCTTCTTCCCCTAGAAGACCCACTCGATTGTTATCACGGACAACACCCTCCGACTACTCCGGTGGCCCCCCAATCGACCAATGGTGGAATCTTGCCGCTGTCAAAGCTACTTCAGCAACTTTTTTTTTTCGTTGAATACTTCAGCAACTTCTCCTTGCTTTTGTGTAGAGGAAAAAAATGTAAAAGGCAACAGCTAAACGATTTGGCTAAACTGGATTTGATATTGGATTAATGGATTATGTTTGTTTGTGATGAAGAGGTATGGTCGTCATGTGCAGGGAGCGGCAGAGAAGAAGAAGAGTGGCGTAGGAGGTGAAAGGTTTTCGTGTGTTTCGGGGGCATAATAGTCATTTAACATCTCATTTAACAGTAAAATGACGGAAGTCTTGACAGAAGGGCAGTTTTGTTACGGGTTCAAAATTGAAGGGTATATTTGTGCAAAAAATTGTACAATGGTACATTTGTTAATTTACAATAGTACAGGGGTACGAAATGCTATTATCTCATTCTTTTATTTTTTATTTGCCACGTTCCTCATTTAAAGGTCAACTATCAGAGTTGAATGCCACATCAGAAAAGTTAACGGAGACTAACAAAGAGCGACCATAGTCACCACAAATGGAATAAAATAATTTTAGTGGCAAACGTGAAATATTTTAGTAATTCCAGTGACCAAAGTTGCAATCTACCCCATGTTTTTGTATTGATCGTTGCAAACTTGCAATACAAAACGATCTTAGTATCATCGCTTACCTTTAAAGCGATCAAGTAATCATCGTCTTTCTCGAAAGCGACAAAGGCCTTTTACAACCATCATCACAGGCACCTAAAGCGGTCACTCTTTGATCGTTATTCCCCAAAGCGATCAAGGTCGTCTGCAACCCTCCGATCTGCTAGTGGAGGAAAAGAGAAGCAAGGCCTTAATCACGATCGTTGAGGTTAGCCTCTCTCTAACGATCTTCATCGCCCCTCTAGGGATGATCTCGATCTGGTCGAGTTTCCGGTTCTTCGCCAAGCAAGCAGCAGAGCGGCATGATGTCAATTTCTCCTCCGCTGAAAAGGAGTGAAGATGACGAAGAAGTAACTCCTGCATTAGTTGCCTTGTCTGGGATTCGCAGCATAAGAAGTTCGTCGTTGAAACTTGTATAGAGAAGCCCAGATGAAGAACAAGGCCAAGACGACGACGTCCAGACACAAAAGAGAAGCAACACACAATACACAACGTTTCATTCAATTAATTCGTTAGTTTGAGATTTACTGTATAGAAGGACAGTTGTACAGCTCCTATTTATTTGTTAATTCGTAGAATAGATTAACAGCTAGTTAAACTGTAAATGCTTTAATGTGTATATAAGCTTCTCTCAATGTCAAAGCTCTTTATGAGCAATTTCCCCAAATATGACTCTCTCTGCAATTCATCTTTTGATTACAAATCTTCTCTTGGTATCAGAGCGTTGCTCATCGCGCTAGATCCGTTTTTGCCCTAACTTTAGGGTTTCGTTTCCTCTTCCTGACTCGCTATGACACAACTCCTAACAAAGGCCAAGTGTAACCAATGAAAGGACTGCAGTATAGTGGCTCGAGTAATAAATATCGAATCCATGGGTCTCTAGAGTTACTATTACTCAGCTTCGGTTCATTATCTAGCAAACCAGATTAAGATAGAACAACTAAAACTACTCTAGCAAACTACAGTTAAAGTTAATCTAATTACAGGTTGGGAACTCACTTAGGTATCATTCCCCCTAGCCACCTGCCAGATTAATGATTGATGATCTCTAACCTATTTCACTTTCACTCACAATGTGGAGAATCCTTAACTAGACGTTGAGTCTCGACTAAAGGAACAAGGCCCTCTTGAGTCAATTGCCTAGAGGGACGTGTCCTTCTCTAGAACAACCGATCAAGGTGTTATGAACTATATTCCCTCTATCGAATGAGGTTCTCAATCAATACAAAGCAGTGAATCAACCCTCGACTAAAGCAATCGATCCAATACTATCAATCTATAGTGCCCTATTGACCTAATAAGGTATTCGCTCTCATAGGATCAAAGCAGAATCAATAATCTAGACTAAAGCAGAATTGAATCATGAAAACATGCATAGATTGAATATGAACTCAAGATTATCAAATAAGAATACTCATACAATCATCCAATCAAACAAACATGGCTAGGATTCCTTAAAACCTAAGTGAAGGGAAGTTATTCCATAGAGAAGAGAAGGACTGCATTAAGAATCTTCAGATGATCAGTCTTCAAGTCCGGGTTTGTTACATGAGCTTCCAAGGCGAAGAAATCCTCCAATTCCACTCCAAGATTGCCTCAAATCGCCCTCTCTCTCTTTGGTTCGTACCTTGGGTGTTTGGGATCCAAAATCTAGCTCCCTCCCTCCAAAAAGCACAAAACAGGCTTTTAACAGCCCGTGTTCGCGAAACCCGTTCGGGTATTTAGGGAACCGGTTGGGTATCAACAAAATGCTCCGGTTCACTTTTCTGGACAAAGGGAAAATACCCGGTCGGGTATTTTTGGTTGACGACTGGGGGCCTTCTGTGTTCTGATGAAAATACCATATCAGATGCTCAAAATACCCGGTCGGGTATTTTGACCTTACTAGGCAAGTATTTTTCAATTCTGGGTCCCCTATCTTTGATTCTTCGTTTATCCCTCATTCGGACTCCAAATAAGATGCCGTTTGATCTCAGACGCTTGTAGTCTCGTCATGTTTCTTGTAATGACAAGCTTACATGATTCTAAGGTCACAAAGTGAGGTATAAATCCATTTTTCTTCAGGTCATGCCCGAGTTTCTTCCCCCGAGTTGCCAATTGATCTCCGATTGACTTGAAACTTGCGCCTATGCTTCACTTTATGTGCTAAGACCTGAAATGTAACAAAGAAACATAACCTATAATAAAATAGGCCAAAGAAGCGATAATGCAAGCTTAAACGATCAAGAAACAAAGGGGGAAATATGTGCAAATATCGAGTCATCACTTCCTCTTCTTTCTCATTTTCTCTTTTCTTATCCTTGCTGCTACAATGTCTGGTTATGCTACAAGCGTACAACAACAGAATTTGGCAAATCATCTGGCTAGACTGATTCTGCAACTGCGAATGTAGATCGACTCAAATCGATAATGGGTCAGTATGAAGATCCTTATGTCAACCCTTATTATCTCCCACCTCAAGATGGAGCTCTACCCACCATCGTCACATGAAGCTAGTAGATGGCAACTACCATACATGGAGCAAAGTTATATGGCTGGCTCTTGAAACCAAAAACAAGACCTAGTTCATTGATGGTCGAATTACAGTTCCTCAGATAACAGATGTTCATTATCATTCTTGGGTTCATTGTAATGGAACAATCTGTTGCTGGATCTACAAGTCCTTGTCTTATGACACTGCTAATAGTGTCATGAGATTAGTTATAGCTAAGGATGTGTGGGATAATTTGAAGAGCAGATTCAGCTAGGAGGACAACATTAGGGTTTATGATCTCAAGACCCAATTGTCCAAATGTACTCAAGGAGATCAATTTGTGAGTAAGTATTTTATTGCCCTCACCGTGATATGGGATGAATATAGGAGATATAGACCTATTCTATTTTTTCCTTGTGTTCCTGGACCGTTTGAAACATCCAAACAGTATCAGGACAATGAATTTGTGATACAGTTCCTTCAGGGTTTGAATGGTGCTTACCAATCAAATAGGACACAAGTCCTCATGCTTCCAGTCTTACCTAGCATAGACATAGTCTTCAAGCAAATTCTGCAACGGGAACGTCAACTGAAGGTTATGACTAGGAGCACTGAAGTTGATTCATTAGCTTTAGCAACTATTGGATCTAATGCTGGTTGTTAGTATCCACCTAGAGGAAGGAATCAACAACAACAGTCAGATGGTAAGAAGATTTGCAGCTACTGCAAGAAGGAATGTGATGACTCGGTATTTGCACATGTTTTCCCCTTTGTTTCTTGATTGTTTGAGCTTGAATTACCGTGTCTTTGGCCTATTTTATGCTAGGTTGTGTTCCTTTGTCACATTTCAGGTCCTAGCACATAAAGTGAAGCATAGGCGCAAGTTTCAAGTCAATCAGAGATCAATTGGCGATTCGGGAGCAGAAACTCGGGCATGACCTGAAGAAGAATTGATTTCTACCTCACTTTATGGACAGAGAATCATGCAAGCTTGTTATGAAACGAAAGAGGACGAGACTACGAGCGTCTGGGATCAAACGGCGACTGATTCGGAGTCCGGACGAGGGAGAAACGAAGCATTAAACAGAGGCT